CCGTAGTCGTCTACCCTAGGGGCACTACAGTAGTGCTTCGTCGCAGGACGAAGGAGCGGAGGGCTACGACAGTAAGCCTACTACTAGAACTACGACGGTACTAGTACTAGGGCTACGACAGTACTAGAGCTATACGTACTCGTACTCGTTGACGCTAGTAGTAGTATTACTAGTACGGTAGTAGTCGTAGTAGTAGCCTAGTGTTTAACCCTGAGGTCAGCTGAAACGTAAACTAATCGGACCACGGCACGAACATAAACAGAAACTCGGCAGCTATAACTATAAGCTTAGGCCCTTTCATAACTTAAGATTAAGATGAAAATAACACACTTGCACCCTTGTCGCACGCTCAGCCTCCTTATTCTTTCACCGCCCCTCGGCTGTCTTCCCTGCCAACTTCCTTCAGTCTCACACAACTCGCTCAAGCAGCAAGTTATATTACGTACTTTTATTTGCACGTCTGAAACGGTGGTCGAGCATGCGCAATAACTCCAAAAAAAAAGTATATTTTTTCTATAATATAAATTTAAAATGAAGAAGGGTTATCCCAGCATAGATTTCTATTACTCTGACCTTGCATGTAATGTCCCTGTTCCATATACCGGCCAGTACACAATCTGGCTACGTTAGTATGTTAGCGCAAGGGCAATATCTCACCAGCGGAGTTACATTTTCTAATGAATATAAATTTAATTTGGTCAGGGCGTATCTCAGCATACGTTTCTCTGATAAATTCTTATTAGTAGAACTGTGTTTATAATTAGGAGAGCGCCCTAGCCAGAAGAGTACAAAACTACTACTTCTTCCCCGCCCGCCCGCGATTTTTTTTTCTACACGTTATATCCATTGGGCTCTTCTGATTGGCTGCTTTGATTTGACCACACCATAGATAGTGTTTGGGATACCATAGATAGTATATAAGCCGATTTGGTTTATAGTTAGTGTTAGGGTTCGGCTTGGGGTTAGGGTTAGGGTTAGGGTTAGGATTAGGGTTAGGATTAGGATTTTTGCATCATTCCTTGATATACGGAAAGTCTGATGCGGAAATTGAGATGCATATATCAACCCCAATGGATATAACGTGTAGGAAAAAAAAATTCGCCGCCCGCCCTTCCTCTTGCCTCCCTTGTCGCACGCTCAGCCTCCTTCTTCTTCCACCGCCCCTCGGCTCTCTTCCCTGCCACCTTCCTGCAGTCTCCCACCTCTCTCCCGCAGCAATCTATATTAAGCACTTTTATTTAGGCCGCACTGCACGTCTGAAACGGTGGTCGCGCATGCGCAGTAACTCCCAAGAAGAAGAATATTTTTGCTAAAATATGAATTTAAAATGAAGAAGGGTTATCCCAGCATAGATTTCTATGATAAGATTTCATCAGTAGACCTCACTTAAGATATGGGTAAAAGACCTTGCATGTAATATCCTCGTTCCATATACCAGCCAGTACACAATCTGGCTACGTTAGTATGTTAGCGCAAGGGCAATATCTCACCAGCGGAGTTACATTTTCTAATGAATATAAATTTAATATGGTCAGGTTGTATCTCAGCATAGGTTTCTGTAATAAATTCTTGTCAGTAGACATGTGTGTATAATTTGAACAGAATCACTTATACATTTTGTGGGAAAGTGGACATAATTTTTTACTTTTACAATTTACGGTGACGTATCATCCAACGCTGGATTTTACCAGGGAGCCGCATCATCTCAGATGGCTGGGCCGCATACGCTGATATTGCCCTGCTTGACATTTACATGCATGATGTCATCGTCCACCAGCGGAACTTCGTTGATCCAGATGATCCGACCATACATACGCAGCTGATCGAGAACACGTGAATGCGGGCCAAAAGAAAGTTACGTCGTCAGCACGGTACCACCATCGCATTGTTTCCATCGTATCTTGCGGAGTTCTCATGGCGACAGAGAGTTGGTCCCAACAAGTTCCATTTATGATGTGTAAGTATGAGAGTGTGAGAGATAGAGGGAGAGAGAGAGGGAGAGGGGAGAGAGATCGATCGTGGGTCTGTTTGATCGTGTTATGTTATGTTTTATGTTGTTTTTGACTTCAACGTAATAATGTATTTCGATTTTAAAAATTGTTAATTTTTTATCTAACTAAACGGAGCCTAAGAGTAAGATAAAATATTACCTGTTTCCCCTTTACCGACCGGCTCGTTAAAACGCCCCGTCTCAACAAATTTTATTGGCCAATTAAAAAAAAAGAACAGTTATAGTCGTTTAACACCCTTTTAGACGGGGCGCGATCGCGCAACATTTTCAGGTTTAGTTGCAAAGGTCGCCGAAAAAAGTAGCCCGCGACACGCGTGTTACACACTTTCACAGTAACAGATTTACAAGGCGCCAGCGCAGCGCAGCGCAGCGCAGCGCGTACAACGCGTGCAGCGCGTGCCGTGCTGCGGCGGCATTTCATTGATGTACAGGGGGGCTGGGTTGGCAGATTCTCCCTTCTCCTCTTACTCTTCCACTAGCTTCTCCCTTCTCCCCTCCTCCTCCACCAGCTCCCTTCTCCCCTCATTCTCCCCTTCCTCCTTCTCCACCAGCTTCTCCCCCTCCTCCTCCACCAGCTTCTCCCTTCTCCTCTTCTTCATTCCCCACCAGCTTCTCCCCCTCCTCCACCAGCTTCGCCCTTCTCCCCATCCTCCTCCACCAGCTCCATTCTCACCCTCCTTCTCCACCAGCTTCTCCCCTCTTTCTTCTCCACCCCCTTCTCCCTTCTTCTCTTCCTCCTTCTCCACCACCTTCTCCCTTCTCCCCCTCCTCCTCCCCTTCCTCCTTCTCCACCAGCTTCTCCCCCTCCTCCTTCTCCACCAGCTTCTCCCTTCTCCCCTTCCTCCTTCTCCACCAGCTTCTCCCCCTCCTCCTTCTCCACCAGCTTCTCCCTTCTCCCCTTCCTCATACTTTACTAGCT